ATAAAGTTGAAGAAAAATGCTTTACTCACTGGGTTGTAATAGATGAAGGTGAGCTCAATTTCTTGATCCAGGATTGCATTAAGGAAGGGACATATGCAGGTAGTAATAAATGTCTACTTGAGCATATACTTACATATTACGAAAATTATCAGCCTCAATATACACATTTGCAGGCCTCGATGTTAGCTTATGCTTATATATACTTGCTGGAAATGCTCCAGAGATTTGGTCTTAATGAAGTGGTAAAAATCGTAACAGATTCTATATATATACGAAGAGAGGCCTTATATAAGATTGAAAATGTATCTGCCTTCTTCAAACAAGCTAAAAGCCTCCTCAATCACAAGGGAGGGGCAGATATCAGTAAGTTTCAATGTCCGCATAAAATTCCTTCTTGTGCAATGTATAGAGCAGGAGTCTTTTATTCAAAAGAAGCAGTTAAAGAATTTGCTAAAGAAGTGAAGGTTCACTACGTGAATAAAATAACGGGCTATTTGTCATGTAATAAGCATAAGCCATTTGTATGTGCTGTTTGCTTTGGAGAATGGTACTTTTGCTTAAGTTCTCAGAAGAATACCAAACCCAGTAGAGTTGTTACCAAAGAGTCTGAGCCACTAAAAGAGGAAAGATTCGAGAAATTCAGTCTGGTCAATGACATGATAAAGGTGAGAAGATTCATGAACCAGATCCTAATATCATATACATTGAAAATTGATTAAAAATATTACCGAGAGTACTGCTCTATCAATTCATGATCCTATTACAAGATCCCAAGTTTTATATCTCAATGAAGGTGGTGGTTCTAGGAAGACAACATGCGCAATCTGAATCTTTAAAGATATAAACATGGTAGTCTTTACTCATATGAATGCATTGACTAAAGATTTTCAGAATAATCGTAAGATAAAAGCCAAACTTGGCATAGCTTTTTTAGGTAGAATAGTATAGGAGAATGGACTTCTAAACGCATGGAAGAAAAGAAATTCTCACGAGTTATCATCTGAGATGAAGTATGTACAGTGCCTAGACATATTCTAGAGAAGTTTATCGACTACTTACTAGAGCAAAAATGTCAGATAATCTGTTGTGAGGATGACGCTTAACCTCCACCATTTTTTGGAGAAATGCCTCATGACTGGTTAAAAGAGCGAGCTGATTATTATGAGGAAGTCTTGACTGATTATCAGACTAAATGCCTAGACTGCAAGAGCTTAAGAAAAAAATGCAACGTCAAAATAACAGAGTGCAATCAGACCTATTCTGTGAAGCACTTTCAGTCACAAAAAAATGGGAATATCTCGAAGCTGAATGGAAACTATCAGATCATATCTTATCAGCACATCTACTTTCCCAAAGAATTGCTTCCCAAAGATGCTTAAAACTTCATCAAAAAAAATATTCTGATGTACTGATCCCATTAATCTATAGGCCAATAGATGGACGCAAACAAAATTGTCTTGTTCTAATCCTCAGCTCATCCGAAAAGAAAGAGTTAGTGAAAATGACATAGTGAACTTACCCTTAAATACACTTCCTAATAAATTCTTAAAAGATATGTTGACGGATAAAAAAGACATAGATTGGAAACTTGGATATGCTATGACTATTCATACTAGTCAAGGAATGACCCTTAAGGCTCCACAGTGTGTTTGGGTCATCGGTGAAAACTTAGCCTAGGATAACCTAATATATTTAGCAGTTGGTCGTGTAGAATATTTAAGCCAATTCATTCGGGTTGAAATGCCTCCATTACCTCCTGAAATTGCCCAAGAGATTGAGAAAGCAAAAAAAAAGACGGCTAGAGCACGAATTGAGACTATCTATTCAGGAAAAATTTATTGGATATATGGACTAGGACAAGGAAAAAAGCTGTAAATTTGATCTAACGGTTGACTATATCCTCACATTAAAACGTATTCAAGAAGACGGATGCGCATTATGCCTTATAGAAATGAAATTCGAATGAGATCAGCTAGGAGATATATTACAATGGACAATAGATCGAATTCATAATAATTTAGGGCATATCAAAGGGAACGTACGCCTAACCTGTCTTCTTTGCAACTGAAATCACAGAGTCTAGTTCATGCCAGTGATCCAGATTAGTGATATGATGCATATATACAATCGGAGAAGGCAAATCGTAGTACTTACATAATTGTAAGATTTTTTCTGACACAATAAATATTCAGTTTATTTTTTTCTAGATATGGAAAATGCCTTCTAAAAAGTATCATACATATAATCATATAAAGCAGTCACTTGACACTTATAATAGTATATGTGTAGCTTGATAAATAATGTGTAGTAATATCGCTCTTTGATACTAAACACAGAAGGTATAGCTAAAAAAAATTGAGAAATATCACTCCTTTGATGCTAAGCATCTGCAGGAGAAAATAAATTAAGAAAGAAATACTACCCTTTTGATGCTAAGCATTTGCAAGAGGAAATAAACTCATAAATAAATGCTATTCTAATAGATAGAGAAAATATTTTGGATGACAAATGCCTCTCCTGCAGTTCGATAGAATAAGGGAATAATATTTTTTTGATTAAAAATATAGGCTCATATAGTAAAGTATGGGATTTAATATCAATTTGTACAATATAGAAAGTTTAGATGAAATTATAGAAAATGCAAATAAAAATATTAAAAAGGTGTTTTTAGTAGGGTTACACTTGAATTTTGACAAGAAGCTTATATAATTAGTCTAAAATTAACATTGGATAGATTAGCACAGGAGCTAGAGTTTTCACAAAAAGATGATTGTTCTTCTAAGCCAAGCAGTCTAGAGCAGTGATCTTCAACTCAGAAGAATTTACTGAGCCATGCACAGCACTTTCGATCAGATTATGCGATAGAAAATAAGTGAATCATCCAGTCAGGTTTTGTGTGACATATTAATTTTCGCATATACTGAAAAGAAGCTATGCATGCTAACCAATACTTATTTTTTTTTATTAAGTATAATTGATCTATTAGCAAAATGTCAGATGACGAAACGGATGAGGCCTATAATAAATTTATCAAAGAATTTGGATTGAAATATAAATGGGATAATGTAAGGAATCCTAATGAGTGGGGATACTGGAACAATATTTTTTGCATAATTAAAACCTATTGAAAGATAAAGGCGGTCAGGTATTAGAGGAAGAAAGCGCTTAAGCAATTTGTATATGCTTTGCCCAGTGTAAAAAATCCAATGTCATTATTTCATGTATTCCTACAATCTGATACCTTTTATCTTTCACAAATATTAAGTCTAATAAAATTACTATATTATCCGCATGAACTTCGAAAGAAAATATGGCCAGATGATAAAAGTTCTGATGTAGATTGTTTATTCAAGGTGAAGAATCAATAGTGGATTACTGTTTAAAGACGAAAAAATATAATGATATTGTCAAACTCTGTAAAGATCATTTTAGAAGTGAATTCTATAGTGGATTAACGCGAGAAAATATGAGACATATTGCAAAAAATGATTATTATCGTAAATTAGTAGAAATGCTTATTCAGGCGAAAAAAAATCAGTGACTGGTATTATAATTGGGATTAAAGATTATATCAGTCAGTCTGGCATTGCTAATATGAATGGGATGCAATACTTATTGAGAGGCATACATTGGATAACCAACCCGAGCGAAGGTAGTCTGAAGCAGTGATTATCAGCTCGAAAGATTTTTTTCTGAGCCACAATGCATGTACTCTTGTGTGACAGAAAATAGGTTAATCATACGGTCAGTTTGTGTGATATATTAATTTCACATATAATCAAAAATAAATTATGTATGCTAACTTTTAGTCTATTTTTTTCTCGATCAGATATATCTGGAAGACGTCTGGTAAATTTTATGAATATAATGTTCTTATATCGAGCTTCTCAGACTTGATAAAGTTTTTCAAAGCATCTTCACCGTAAAACGTCTTCTATAATCCCATCCGGTATATATTTTCTTAGGGTCCTAATAATTGTCCTGATAATCATCACTATCTTCTTCGTCGCATTGATCAATAAAAAAATATTTAGCGATATATGTCATACGTAGTATCTAATAATACATCATTATTACACTTCTCCATAGTAATTACACATATACTGTTTTGAGTGTCATATGATACCGCTCCCTCTGGGCTTAGTGTCAAGTAATCCTTTACACATATGATGTTGTGAGTGATATACGATACTGTTCCTCTCTAGGCTCAGTGTCAAGTAATTCTCTAGACATATGTCATTGTAAGTGTCATATGATATTGCTCCCTCTGGGATCGGTGTCAAGTGACCCTTTATAGCTGAAATTATAATGATATTGGCAAAATCATATGTCTAGATAATTAGTAGCCAATTATTTTCTGATCACATGATACAAATTATATCGATTTTTGGAAAAAAATAAAAATAAATCAGAGGCCTCAAAGAGGCGAGTTATTTATTAGAATCAAATATAAATATATTTAGGCTAATGCTTACATCAAAAAAAAATAAATTAGAGGCAGGATCATTTATTAGAATCTATATATATTTAAATATCTATAGCATCAGCCAATGATATTATTCAATCAGAATCAGTCAGCATTGGTTTCTCATTTAGATCTAAATCATCTAAATAATTTTTAAACCCACCCAGTCGAGAAAAAGTAGTTCTAATTCTTTCTTGAATCGCCTCTATTTCTTTCTCATTAAATTTTCCAAAAGCTGATGGGCTGAATTTTCTAATTCACTTAATATCATCTCTTTCTAAACCTTCTGTACTGAATATCTTATAAATATTTGTAGCTGAACGTTTTTTCTTGTTAAAGATTTTATGAGATATGTTAGAGGGGAATTGATGCTTAATTTCTGTATTAAGCAAGATTCACGCAGTTTGAAGAGGTGGTTAATTCTAAATTCAGCTAGTTTTTTCACCAATGCTTTCCTGAGAGGATATAAAGAATCGAGGACTTCATATTCTGCATGGGACACTTTATGTATTTTTTCTTTAAAAATTTTTTCAGCCTAAACTATTTTGTTGTGTAATTCAACGAATATCATTTCTGAAGTTGTAGGATTCTCTGTTTCTTCAACTGAGTTCTCAGATAATGGACTAAAGTCTTGTGGTTCCTTAGCTAAGTCTTTAAAAAGCTTTTCAATTATATATTCTTCTTCTTGTAAAAGTAACTGTGTATTATCATCTTCAAGATAAATAGATTGTCGACAACGAGAACAGATCATATCCTTTTTTAAAAAAATAATAATACATCTAAGATGGAAGCTATGAAAACAGGACAATTTTGCGACTGCTTCCAAAATAGCTCCATTAGATTCAAATAATAGATCAGCTTCATTATACAAAGAACATATTTCAGGTTCCCCTTGAGAAATTGTTAGTGTGATGAGTTGATCTCAGTGATAAGAGATACTTCCGTCAAGTATACGTTCACTTTGATCGAAGGTTTAGCTTGAATCTCTAAATATATCTTCTTCAATGGTCAATGAAATACGCAGAGGAGTGTTATTAGATCTTTCTGATTTCATTATTATTATTTTTTGAGATGCAATTTACGGGGAAGAGTAAAAATATAAGGTTTTTATACTTTCTGAACACCCACTCGTGATCGCAAAATTATAACAACTGGAACTTAGTAGAAGAAATATTCTTATTAGTCTTTTTGGATGACAAAGGTCTTTATTATCAACTGAAAACACATAATGAGATATTTTTTTTTAGACCGCTGAAATTTGCCATTATGTAATCCAGCCAAGTATGATCACACATATTATAGGATAACTGGCTTTATCACTGTCAAAAATATAAAACAAGACAGGGTTGTAAGCGTGTTTGATTATCCAGAGCTAAGTGATTATCTGGAGTCGAGTGCTCATCATTAATATTATTTTTTCGTAATGATCATCTAGCACAGTAATCGAAACCCTTTATATTAATACACTCAGAAGAAGCCTTCATTCATTTGTAATTTATTTACTACATCAATAAAGAATTCAGCCAAAAAGGCTATACATTATATCAAAAAAGTGAGACCTAAAGTTCCACTTGGATAAAATAAATCATGTCTTATATGAAAGTTGTAATCGAATATGCAATAAATAAATGTGCAGTAACATTAGACATCATATATCCGGAAACAAGTAATTGCATGTAATTTATTCTTGAACTTTCCTACATATACTCAAAGCTTTATATATAACAAAAAAGGCCTTCCTGTTGATCTTTATATATGGATAACGTCAAAATTTTTTTATTATAATTTTAAGTGGATCTGTTGATCAGATTTTTATAATACGATCATATTAACATAATTTTCTCCAAAAGTGTATTTCAAAATCAATCCTGCGAATTACATAAAAGGTGATGTTCCAGTTAGTTAATCCTTTTATTCGCCTTGTAAAAGTAAAACAAAAATCAAGCAAAATAATCGAACTTACTATTATTTACATCATCAATATTATCATTCAAACGAACAAAGTATATTCCGCAAAGTGATAACGTGATAAGTAGGTTTATTGCTCTTGAAACATGTCATCATGATATTAATCGATTTTCTGCCTCTATAGATATTATTATATATCGGTATTTTCAAGATCATCATCGTCATCACGCATACAATAGATGTAGTATCACAAAAATAATAGATATTATCAGCGTAAGCATCTTCACGTACTGAATTTTAATGTTTGGTGCAGTATCGTACTAGCAATAAAATATTGATATACCACGCATTAAATAACAAATAAGGTGGGATGAAATGAATCGTAGAGGTACTGTAAGTATGAATCAGAAATATTGCATTGATTATTTTTTAACCTCAGTTGGAATTTATTCTGTAGGTTCGAAATTTGTTAATCTCTCTTGCAGGAAATAATCTTTTACATAGTGGTAGTAATATAGATAAGCGTATATATAGATGGATTCAGAAATCTGATGTTTACAGAAGCAAGCATAAGAATTTAGCAATAGACATAGAAAATAGATATTTTTCAAAATTCTGAGAGATTGATATTGGGACTCTCATTTATGACCTAGGATCTGAGTACTTCCTTCCTTTTTGATAGCATCATATTGTTTCGCAATCTTTGCCAACTTCTCTATATTTCTTAGCCGTAAAGGCGTTGTGTGTATATCTGAAAAATATAATAAAGTTTCGTTTTTTCTCATATAAATTTTTATAGAATATGTATTACAAGAAAAAAGTTGTTAACTCATATCCTGAAATCTATGATTGAGAAACGTATTCTGTATATAGGTGGTGTGACTCAGTTTCGGAAAAAATAAAAAATATTCTCAGTTTTATTAAGTATTTGATCATCAGGTGCGAAATAAAAAATTCGAAGTGTGTAGTACTATATTCAGAAAATTTAAATTATTTTACAAAGATTGCGTTACATAAAAATTTTCTGAGTATAAACTAAATATTTATTTCAAAGCCAGAACTATGCAAGGTCTTACATGTGATATCGTTCAAATTTGTGAAATTTACACTATATGATATAGAAATAAAGGGAGTTTGAGATGCACATCTACACTACACATCGTACAGAAGTTATTTTTTTATCTTTTTTTATCAGATTAACTAGCATATAATAATTTGTGATAAAGCCTATGATACAAACCTACAGCCCGAAATATAAACATCTATTTTATGCTTTAAAAAATATTGCTATTTGACAAAGACCTCCAAGTTTCCAAGGCATTAAGAGCATTTGGTCTATTATAACTTTGCATTTGTACCCAATATCAATAATACTTTGTAGAAGTCCTATGATAAAATGGTCTGCATCGGTTATTAGTTTTCCTATGCTCCATATGTCTACTTCTTCACTGTGACTTTGTAAAAAAACTTCTGGTGTATTATTGGTTTTTTTGAGATGGTTTGCTGGTCTAGTTTGTGAACGATTAGCATCGTCCTAATCTATAAGGATCCATTTTGGTAGTTCACCAGATAATTTTATAATGTTAGTCCACCGGATGTCTTGATGGAAAATTGGATTGTCACCACCATGCATAATCTAAGTTGAACATCATGGATGAGAAGTGTTCAGCAAACACTCATCTGACAATTACCAAGATACTTACCACTAAAGTCTCAAGCACACAAAAAATAGCTTCAAAGAATTCCTTCAGATTATTTAGCTTTACACTCATTCCTTTTAGCCCCAAATACACCACTCCATTTTCATTATTAGCATAAATAAGTCGATCAACATTTGGAACACTTTTCTCTGTCAGTATGTTGTAAACATTCTTGAGTTTTTCAACACGTCAATCCAATTCCTCAGGAATTTTGTAGGTCTTTTTAATGTTCGTACTGTATACCTCGATTGTCTATTTATCTCTGCAATATTATTAGAAAAGGGATATCAAAATATAAAATACTTCAGTGACAAGTTCCCTCAACTCACCTAACAATTTGACTGAACTCAGGTGATTCACACCATCTGATCACATCTTGAAGTAACTTGATTAGAATACTTAGATTAATCATTCGTCGTAGATTAATGATATGATCCTTCCTCAGACTTAAGTTTGAATTCACAATGGTAGAAATCCTTGGTTTATTACCAGTAGACAAAGGTGGGGAAATGGCAACGAATATTACGTCTGGCCCATTGGCATAATAGCCTGTAACAGAAAAATAACATTTAGAATGTAATCATTTTAAAATGAGCATACATCTTACCTAAAATATATGAAGCTAGATCGTAGATCCAAGTAAGTTTGTCAATAAGTTTGTTTCTCAGATCTTCATTATTGATGAGTGATTTCTCCTCCCTCTAAACGGACAAACATGACTGAAGATAAAACCAAAATCTGGCTGTTTGCCAGGGATTCTTGTATGCTGAGAAGAATTACGGATAGTAGTATCATTAGAAATAAGGATTTCCAGAAGGGATCTGATATTATTGTTCCAAAAATAGACGAAAGAATACTCAGTTCCCTTGCGTGAAAGTGGATTATTCTAAATTGGAGAGCCAAGCATCTTAGTAATGAATTCGTAAGCACTCTCAGTATCACTGATCCAGAATAAGATATTGAGATCTTCTAGTGTACACGTATCTTCCATACTTTGAATCAAATAACTATTATATTCATGTCAGAGGATAGGTATCTTCATATTGTCTGAAAGAGGCTGTTCAAGGAAGTCAGGAAGTTCGTTAATTTCAGGAAGTATCACCTTAAGACTTTTATTAAAAGCACTAAGAACTTGAGCACTGACATCTTGGACTATAAGTGTAGAGCAGAATTTGTAAGAAATGACAGAAAATGCAAGTAATAATAGTTTTTATTATACATTCTTACTTTCTTCCATGAACTTTCTCTTATTCTAATATAATTGTTATAATTGTTATAAGGTTTAGAATATTCAAAGGTATTAGCAAGAAGACAAGTTAATCGACAGTATACCATACAGTATAAAATAGAAAAAGAGAGGAAAAAATGTTGGGAGACACTTACCAGTGGAGTTGGAAACTATAAAAATATGAAGATACCTGTCCTTAGGTTTTTTGTCGTCATCAGCGTTGTTAGCATTACTATAATATGTACTAAAATTCAGCATAGGATTATCATCAAGCTTCTCACTCTTGTCATAATTTTTAATAGTATCTTCGTTAGAAAAGTTATTAATTTCATGAAAGCCAAGTTCAACTTTCCAGATATTCATTTCAGTTATTCCTTTAGTTTGCTTTTTTTTAGATAGAACATCCTTGAAGTCTGTAACAGTTAAATCTTTAAGTCTTACCTGATAGGAACAAGATCACTAAAGCGCATACGAAAAATATTAGCAGAAGCTTTTTCTAATACCAGACAGTTTAATGAAAATGATATTATATTTCTATAAAAGTGATTAATTTTTTAGAAAAAGTTTCAAGAAAATTTGAGAAAGCTTGAAGGTATATATATATACTTTATATACCTTTCTGAATACATCGTGAAATAGACTCTTGCATAAACTTTTTGTAGCTTGTAGTGACGTAATACAGCAAATAATATAGATACTTTGACCAAAATTAATAAGCATAGTAAAAAAGGTAATTTATCAGTACATGAAAAAGAGGTTTTATCATTACTCATTAGATTTTGATTCTCTAATGAATTTTCAGGGTATTTATTAAAATTGTTAGGTTATACAAGTAGTTGTACAATTGACTGTATTTGACTAATCAGTGTGGCTTTTTTTATTACAAATTAATCAAGCACAGTAATGCTTTAGATTTTCACTCTTTCTTATTCTGGACGTCGTACTGAGCATGAACGTTATAAACTTAAAAAGAAACTGGCCTATCGCAGTTTAAAAAAATCGTTGACGAAAGAATTGTAGAAGTTGGACGAGATTTACGCAAATAAAGATATGGATGAAATATATTGTTTTTTTCAGTATGCATTTACAAGAAAACGATTTTGAGGCTCGCAAACTAATGACCATTTTCTTGTACAGATCTTACTGGCATTATTGAATGTTAACAACATAAAATGTCAGTGAGTTTTACTAAGGTTAATGTTGTTCATTTATTTCTAACAATGCATATCTTATAAGTATAATTGACGACCAAGTTATTTATCCAGAATACCGATGTTAGGGACAAATGAAATCGGATTAGGATTGAGATATAGATAGTTTAAAAAACTGGTGTAGTCTGTAGGTATTAGTATAGAAATGCCCACTATTTCACATTGTAAAATAAGTCTATATATCATCGAATCATGTAATTTATTTATTACATCAATAAAGAATTCAAGCCGAAAATGCTATACATTGTCAAGTATATTTTTCATGGAATATGAAAACGTATGGTGAATAAAAAAGTGAGACCTAAAGTCCCACTTAGGTAAAATTCATTTTAAATAAACTGCATTCTATATGAAAGGTGTTATTGAATATGCAATCCGAACTTGATTCATTGAAACAACGCGTCATCAAGCTTCTGGCTGAGAATTCTGAGATTAAGGCTGAAAATGCCAAGGTTAAAGCTGAAAATGCTAAGCTAAAGCAAGCTATGGAAGAGAATGAGACAAGATTCGTAAAACATGAGCAGAGCGATAAAGAAAAGGCTGAGTTCATTGCAGAACTAAATTGTGATATCAGGAAAATCAAGCAGGAGTAAATTGCTATTAATGTTTCGATGCAAAATGGAACATCTGTGATGAAATCTCCCACTCGTTCAGAATTACAGGTGACTTTCTAATCATCCATTTCACTGCCTATTGAGGGTAACTTTGAGAATAGCTCTGATGTAACTTAACTTACTCATACAGGGTCTAAATTATTAGAGGATAAACAGACCGATAAATTCCTGATTTTGGTAAGTAAGAAAGAGGTTAGTGATATGATGAGACAACGCAATAGAGAGAAAAAACTTTTGCGTGAATCAACACATTCAAGTCAAGATCAGGACAAGCCCTTAATTTTCCAGAATAATTCCTCTATGCCTCCTACTGAAAGCGTCTGACTGTGTCACCTCAAGCCCGGCAGAAGATTCTGCGAAAACTGAAACTAATACAAGTAATTCGCAATCATTAATCAAATTGAGTGTTTGCGAAGCAGGAGAAGCTTAAGTACTATCCAAGGATACAGAAGTTTCTCATGATTATATAATAACCCAAGATTTTATACAAGAAGTGTCTTCAGAGTTGATAAATGAAGATGATGTCTAAGTTATTGATGGAAATCAGGAGCTTACAACTGATATGACAATAGAAGTTGAGCTTGCTCATTTATTTCTAAATGTAAGTATCGAAGGGAAGAACACTACGCAGGCTAAACAAAAAGAGATTTCATGTCGCTACTCATATGGGAAAAGGTTCGAAGAAAGTGTTCAAGAAATTATTGCCAGAGATAATGTTTCAGATCAGATAGCAAGAAAACAATTATTCCAGGATAAAGATGGCACTGCAACTAGTTGCAACCGGTGACAAATAAACATCACAGGGTTGCAACTAGTTGCAACATTAATAAAAATTGAATTGCAACTAATTGCAACCAGTGACAAATAAGTATCACATGGTTGCAACTAGTTGTAGCACCATCTTTATTCTAGAATATAATAAAGCATCTTTCTGGAATAATACTGGAAACCTTACGTAAAAGAACTCAAAGGGCTATAAAGATTTACAAACTGTTCGAAAATATAGGAGTAGATAGAATTAAGAATATCAAATCTTACAGTGCAGATTCTATTTCAAAGTTTACTAAGCCTCAAATCCAAATTATTTTGGATTATTTCAGTGAATCTTGCTATGCTGATACGGAGATAAAAAAATCTAACTCATACTCTGAATGCAAAAATATAGAAAAAGTGAGACCTAAAGTTTCACTTGAGAAAAGCAAGGGTCTGTCCTAAAAAAATTACCAGATGTTAAGATAAGCACTCCGCCTACTTCTCAAACTTTGAAAACCAATTAAACTAATGCATTAGAGGTGCAAGAGAAATACTTGGATTCAGTTGAAGTAAGTATATCGGCAAATGTATCTTCTTTCGATCAATCTAATCCAACCTATGACCGCACCTATTTTTGCAAAAAGATATTGGATCAATATCCTAATTTAAATATAGAATGTAGTAGTGAAAATTTCGATTATTATGAGATTACTGATGAGACATCATGCGGGAACTACATCTGCCTATTATGTGAATTAAGTCATGATGAAAAAGAAATAGAAGGTGAGTATAAAGCCAGATCTTATCTTATTAAATGTAAACAGCGTGAAATTGAGATAACTGCATAATCCCATTATTTATAATACTATATTTGCGTTTCTCTTAAGAAACTATTTTTTTACAAGGCTAATTTATGTTAACTATTACCAAATTAAATTAACTTACATTCATATAAAAATGAAAATGACTGTGTCTGATAAAATACTAACTGCCAAATATCTGGATTGGCATGCTAAATTAAGTGGATTACCAAGTATTTTGTCAGATAAGTTTCATTCCAAATTATACAAAAGATATAAAAAAGAAACTGAAAATGAGCCGTGGTAACTAACAGAAGTACATGAATCAAAAGTTATAAATTCAAAGCCAGAAAAAGAACCTATCACTTTCAAAGCCAGACCCGATCCAGAATTAATTATCAAATCTGTGTTAGAGCATTTCACATTCTTAAAATTCCGAAATAGTTTCAGAGGGATTGATAATTATAATTTTGTATCCGCTCAGCCATGGAGCTCACCATGCCCTATTTGTGATGGAAAACATGGGAATTATGGATTATATGGCTCATGGTATAGGAATGGAACAGAATATTGTCTTACCTGCAACACTTCAAGCAATAAACTCAAGTTCGCAATTGTAGCATAGAGCTTCATCATGTATAGCATGAATTAATAAAGTGCCCGATATGTACTGTACAGCACTTTTTTTATATGCCGTATTGTAAAACGTGATTCTCGTCTGATTTCTACTGCGCCACTGCACCCTTGTGAGTTGTGACAGCTCGAGAATAATTTCCTAATACGTTAACTGCGTGAGTTGATCTGATTTTGTGATGCTAGGTAAAAAGGTGAGGTGTTTAGTAAATCCTTTTATCCACGACTTCGCAATGTCTAATGAAATTAAAATACACAAATATTTCGACCAAGATCCTGCGAATTGGAGCATTCTCGGGTTTCTAAATGAATGCGAACTAGAACCTTTTGAAATGAAAATAGATTCTTACGTAAAATGGCTCAAAAAAATCGTTGACTGCGAGCAAGACATCAAGAAGAAAAGCGCTCAGGCGCTACTTGACAATTATCACAAGGCGAGTACTAATCTTTTTTTTTTCTATTGGGAATTTAGTTTGAAGAAAGTGGCGTGACGTGGACCTCCTTGGTAGGCGCTCATTCAAGGCTCTTTGCCGAGCCACGAAACTGGTGTTGGCGCACCAGTTACCTCACTTGAGTTATCTGATGCCAAAGGCTCCTTGCCGATCCAACATCGGACCCACTGGGCACAGGTGACCTCCTCGGTTGCGTGATGTTCTGGTGGGACGGGAAATCGAATAGATTTGAGGTGTGTTAGTCAAAGAATATTACTAATTCTAAATCTTCCATGTTAGGATCAAAAACCAGACCGCAAAAAAGCAAGAGAGTGGGAGCAGAAGCGCTCGCGTGGTAAAACTTACATCCACCAGATCGGAAATGGAAATGTAGTTGGTTTTAATAGTAATATCAACAGCGGAACTTTCACTGGATTATCAAAAAGAGAGGTACAGATGCGTAATTTTTTTTAGCTGGAAGTTGTGAGATAGTAATTGTCTGTTAGAAACTAACTCTTTCTCTTTGTATTTAGTCCAGTGATGATTTTATCCGTCAACCAAAGCGGAAGAAATTATCGTTGTCAAAGGTTAGAATATAACAATATAATTTTTTTGATATAAAATGTTGTCTTGAAATTTATGAGAGTATTTTTTAATGACTTTATTATACCTACAGGATAAAAAATCGAATGTCTCAGTTAAAAAAGTATGTATAAAATGCAACTTATGATAAGGATTTTGTTCACGCGAATTCTTCAAAAATTTTCTCGTATGAACAGGCTAAAACCACCGGCAGGAACATGGATGACGATATTGATTATCCATTCATCAGCGATAATAGAGCCATTAATTTAGCCGAGAGTTCTGATTTTTCGAAAGATAATTCTTCATCATCAAGTTCCATACGAGGTTCTGTTTCCTTCGATAACCCCTTTGATAACCAATCACAAGATCTTAATAATAGCACAATACCTGGTTCAGAGACTGAATCCATTAATGTATTTAATAGTATAAGCAGTGAAGCAAAGGATCATGAGGTACGGATGCGTAATTTATGAGAATTGTGGTCGGTCTGATATAACTCTTTCTTTTTGTATTTAGTCCGATGACGATGAGTAACAATATTTTCAATTAGATAGGACAGCAGGTGCTCGGGACCGGTAATAATGTATCCATTGATAATATCGATAATCGTCGTTTAACTGAAAAACATCGCCGGGATACAAATAATGAAGAGGAGGAAATGCCAAATATTGAAGGAGTTACGTCTCCGCTAAAAAAGGTGAGTTCGATAAAGGTCCTTTCTAAATTTGTTACATAACCCTTTTCTTACCTTGTGGATGTGCGCACAGATAAAAACCGCTGATAGAGCAGAAAACATGGACGGTTGCAAGGAAAATCGAATGCAGTCAACTTCAGAAAACTCTATGATTTCATTGGAGACAGATGATGAAATAGATTATAGTAAT